GCTCAGTCCCTGTGCTATCTGCATTCCACCGGGGCAATGAAAACAATGCTATACTGCTGTGCAGATACTTTATGTATGCTTCACCAAGCCCTACAGTGTATTATCTCCATTGTACAGGTGAGCCAGCTGAGACTTGAGACTTGCCTGAGGTCACCAAGAGTACTGGCAGGCAGCAGTGGGATTTAAAGACATCTGGTACAGTGCCTGGGCATTTGATTGCTAACCCGGTTGGTGGTTCAAACCCACCAGCCACTCCACAGAAGGAAGATGGGGCAATTTACCACCTCAGAAACCCAATGGGGTTCACTATGAGTTGGTACCCACTCAATAGCAGTGGGTTGGTGTGGTCCAGGGGCTCTATCTTTTGCTCCCCACCTCTTTGGCATGGGGAGATGGAGCCTCGTGCTGGGAAGAGTCAAGTGGCCCTGGCTTAGTGTCCAGGAAGGTGAGAAGAATTAACTTCAGAGCTTGACAGGCTGCCTGTATAGACCAGGGGCACAGCAGGGCCAGGGCTATGGCAAGCGGGTAGTAGGCAGGTCACCCATGTGGGCTACATCTCCTTCGTGACATTTGGGAAGTTCTGTCCTCACTCCAGGGCTTGGTGTGAGTCAAGGCACCAGCGGGGAAGGGAGGGCTGGCTGACAGAACCTACCTGCTCACCACCAGACCACCCTCTCCCCACTGCAGAGTAGGGCCTCTGTCTGTAGAAACCTCCCTGGGCTCCTAACCCTCATCATCCTATGGTATATTTGGGAAAAAGGAGTCCCTGATGGTGTAGTGGTTAAGGCATTGGGTTGCTAACCAAAAAGGTCAGGGGTTCAAATCCACTAGCCACTCCATGGGAGAAATACAAGGCAGACTGCTTCTGTGGAGATTTACAGCCTTGGAAACCCTAGGAGGCAGCTCTGCTCTGTCCTAAAGGGTCGCCATGAGGTCAGAATTGACTCAACGGCAGTGGGTTCAATGGGTGGGGTAAATGGCTAAGCTCTGGGCTACAAAATGAAAGGTTGGCGGTTCAAATGCAGCTAGAAGGAAGACCTGGTGATTTGCTTCCAAAAGATCACAGACATGAAAATCCTATGGAGGGCAGCTCCACTCTGACAGACATGGAGTCATCCTGAGTCAGAATCAACTCAGTGGCAAGTAGCGTGGTGTATTGGGGAAAATGCAGTACCACCCTTGAGCCCAGTCCCTGGAAATCTGCAGTGGTGAGAAATCTCACTGTCCCTGAGAACACATGAGACCCTTCAAAATGAGGGCTGCTGCTACTCCAGAGCCCCTGAAGCCCGACTCTGTGGAAGCAGCCCTCACTATAGGATGCCCAAGGCTGTCTCCCATTACCTAGCCCTGGTTGCATATCTGTTCACATCTCCAGAGGCTGACATATAGTGCACTCAGGAATGGATTAACCAACAAGCAAGGCATGCATGGGCTTAATTTGTTTACTTATCTGTAGTGCACAATTTCCATGGGTTTCCCAAAAACCCAACCCAACCCACTGCCATCACGTTGAGGCTGACTCATAGTGACCCTTTAAGACAGAGAATTGCCCCAGAGAGTTTCCAAGGCTATAAATTTTTATGGTAGTTGAATGCCACATCTTTCTCCCATGGAGCAGCTGATGGTTCAAACTGCCAACCTTCTGGTTAGCAGCCAAATGTTTTAACCACTGTGCCACCAGAGTCCCTACATGAGTTTCAGATGTGGTGAAACCCATGTGAAGTTGTGCACTACAGATTAGTCAGTAAACACAATTAACCCTGTGTGTATCATAAAAACCAAACCAAACTCACTGCCGTCGAGTCTAATTGACTCAGAGCGACCCCTCCTTGGGTTTCTGAGGTGGTATCTTTATCGAAGTAGAATGCCCATTCTTCCTTCCAAGGAGAGGCTGGTGGGTTTGAACTGCCAGCCTTCTGGTTAGCAGTCAAATGCCTTAGGCACTATGCCACCAGAGCTCCTGTGTGTACCATGCCTACTGGTTAATCCATTCCTGAGTGCACCAAAAACTCCAATCGGCTGTATGTGTTTGTGCTACTGTCTGAACCATCCAATACATGTATTGGGTGTCCCCCATTTCCAGTGTCCTTGGCACCAGAGCCAGTGTGATGCCCTTCTCAGTTGCCACAGCTCAGGGCTATGACAATGGGGGTGTGAATGGTTCTTTTCACTAGGCTGATCTAGGGTACAAGAGGAAAGTAGAGGTAGCGCAAAGCAGGAAAGAATCCACAAATGTTGGAATTCTTCCCATGATCGGGCCCTGGCAGCAGGAACTATAGGCAAAGGCTCACCAGGCTTGGGGAAGCCAACCACCAAGGAAGCCTGGACCCCAGAGTCACAGGGAGACTAGAAAGGAGAGGGGATCCTGGCACCACCCCTGAGGATGGTCCAGCCCCCTTCCTCATCCTCTAAACTACAGGGCCTAGCATCACTTCCTGCTCCTTCCTCTCCTGCTCCCGCCTGAGCAATGGAGGACAAGGGAGATGAGAAGGCTGTGGCCACTTGGTGACAACTCTTTGACCAGCATATGGTCTTTTCCCCATCCCTGGGTGCCAGTGAGTTAGAGTGAATAGTGAATTTCTTTCCCAAGGACCAATGAGCTTCCAGGGCCAAAATAACTTCCTTGAGTAAGGCTTATCCTCCTCCCTTAAGGAAGCTCCCCTCCTCAATCTATTGCCACCCTGCTTTGGAGGCCTGATGACCCTGGCTCTGCCTCTCTGGACAGAATGTCCTGGTTTTGGGGTTCCTGGGCACTCCAATGACTCAAGACCCACATATGAGTTCTGGCTCTAACTATGAGGTTAGTTACTGTACCTCTTTGGGCCTTAATTTCTTCAGCTGTAAAATATGGGTGATAGTGTTAACTTCTGGATTGCTCTCATGATTCAATATAATAATGGGAGAATTGTCATCCATCAACTCTGTACAAAGTCAGGGCAGAATGAGTGGCCCCTGACTGGCCTGGGGACAGAGGTGGTACCCATCTCATCTGGCTAGCCCCAGCCTCTGCACCTGTCCCCTCGCCTGCTCCCACTCTCTATGCACTGTTGGCTGTGAACTGTCTTCTACCCTGCCTTCTGGTCTCTCAATGCCTGCTTCTTCTTCTCAGAAGGTACCCACACCTGCAGGCGGGTGGGAGAAGGGCAGCAACTCCCACTTGGCTGGGCCTGGGTGCTGCTGGGGGCAGCACAGGCTGTGTCTGTACAACCTCGTATCTTTCCCTTGCTCATTGCCTGGGTCAGTGTTTCCCCAAAATGCACACCCCTTCGTCTGTGGGCCTCAAACTCTGGGCCCACAAGAACCACTAGCTGGGGCTTAGCAAAATATAGACTCCATTCCCTCTAGGTCAGAGGCAGGACCTGGCATCTGCCTGTTAAACAAGCATCCCAGAGCTTCCAATGCAGGTGGTCCTCCCCACAGGGAGGGAGGCTCTAGGTGGGAAGGCCCCTCCTGAGCAGCACACCCCACCCCTCAGAGAACCACACATCTCTGTGCTTGGAATGCATCTCAAGTACTCGCTGTAAAGAACCATGCTTAACTTTGACTCAGCATTTCCCAAATTTGATTATACAACTTTTTTTTTTTTTTTTAATTTGAATAACATTAACATCGCACAGAACTAGTGCTCTGAGAAAGTTTGGGAAATGTTGATCTAGCTCTCTTTTGTTGTTGCTGCTCTATGGTTGAGCAGACTGAAGCCTAGAAGGCTGTGTTCAAGCTCCACTGTTAATGTAGGGCTTGAATTTGGGCCCGATTCTCTGTTCCAAGCCAGCAGCTTCCCAGGGCCACCTGTATCTGTATCATGGACTTAGGAGGGAACCCCAGGGTTGTTGAACAGTGACAGGAAGTCTGAGTAGGGCATGGAAAGGGGTCAGGATTTGCCTGTGTACCTGGTATAAGCAACAGAGAATGGAGTGGCCCACACTTTCAGATGTTTGCAGAGAGGGTTGGCGAAGACAAGGGAAGCTTCCGTGAGATGGACTGACACAATAGCAAGGACAATGGGCTCAAACAAACCCACAATCATGCAGATGGCAAAGGACTGGGCAGTGGTTTGTGCTGTTACATATATAAGATCACCACGAGTGGAGCCAACTCCATGGCAATTAACTCTACTGGGTTAAGGGGAGGGGAGGTCTTTCTCTGGCCCCCTACCCCTCCCAAGAAGGGGGTGGTCATCCAGAGAGATGGTGAGCAGCTGGGTACTGCTAGGGCTGTCCAGTGGCAGAAAATCTTGTTCTACCTTTTCTTCTCTAGCTCAGAACGGGCACGTACAGCCATTAACTGTTAAGTTAGAAGGGGTATCCCTTACCAAGAGGAAATGAATTTATTGCTTTATAAAAAGGAATCCAGTAAAACTTAAAGGAGAAAAAAAAAAAAAAGAAAAAAACCCTAAAAATCAACCCCTCCTTCTCAATGCTCCCAGGAAGTCTCAGACACATTTCTGGGAGCAGTCAAGGGGGACAGTTAGTGAGCCAGGTGCCAGGCAAAGGAAGGGTGGCTGTGGAGGAGGAGCTGGCCAGCAGGGGGTGCTGTGGCTCTGCAGCCAGAAAGCCCTGGACCAGTTCCCGGCCCTCACCTTGGCCCTTCACAGAGCTACTGGTTCCTGGTGTGGTCTGAGGATAAGGCAGACACTCAGAGCCCAGAAACCCCCACCACCATTACTTTTCCAACACACCTCACACATGTGACATGTACACACACTCCTAGGCCCCTCACAAATCCATTTCCCCGCCAAGGCCTGGACCTCCATGTCTGCTAGTCACACCCGCACTTTCACTCTCACAAAAACAGTGGTGTGTCTGTGGCAGGGGGTAGGGGGTGGTGGGTTTTGCGGGGGAGGTAGTTCCCTGGTGATGCTCTTTTAAATTCCCTTCTGGATCAAGGGCGGCAATGGAAACTTGCTCCCCCTTTGGCCCTTGAAGGGGGAATTGAAGGACTGACCCATCAGTCTTGTCCACGGCCCCTGAAGGTTTAAGTGTGACCACTAAGCCTCCACCCCCTCCCCAGGCTTTAAGCCAGTGGGGCTTCTCCACAGGCCTCTAATGGAAGGACAGGCTACAGGGGGTTGGAATTACAAAGGAGTTAGCACCAACAACAGGAAGCGGGTCCTTCCTTCCTCAGGCAGCCTGACTGGCCAGGGGAGGAGGTGAGGGGCCAGGCAAGGGGGTTGCAGACAGTGCAAGCCTTTGTCCTCAGGCAAGCGTGGTTGGTGGGCATGCAGCCAAGGGGTGGGGGGCAGGCAGTGGATGGCAGACCCCTCTGTTTGGCAGGAGGCAAAATCCAGACATTTTGAGGAGAAAGCCTGCCTGCTGGGGGTCCTCCTGGCTCCTCCTGCAAGTTCCATGGAGCCCCAAGGCCTCAGGGCCCCTGGGGGCCAGCAGAGCAAAGCCCAGGGCAGCCCCTGCCTCCAGCAGTAGGAAAATTGCCCGTCCTGGGTCCTTTCCCATCCTTCCACTGCAGAGCTCTGAGGCAGGACCAGGATCCTGGGACGGAGTGTGGACACCGACGTGGTAAAGGAGAGGATCCTCGGGGCGCAGGGGGGTCCTCTGCATGGGGAGGAGGGCCGTCACTGAAGCACAGGCGGGCAGCCACATTTCTGAGGTGATGGGTGCTACACGAAAGCTTCCTGGTTGGATGAACCGTTGATCTTGAGGAAAAGTTTGTCATCCTCCCTTTTCTGCTGCAGCTTCCGCTCCAGCTGCCGCCGGTAGTAGATCAGGTAGAGGGGGAGGCAGAACCCCAGCATACTCAGGCCCAGCAGCCCCACATTCACCTGGGGAGGCAGGGACGAGAGTCGCCGTCACACCGGGGTGAGGGTGGGGCGGAGCCAGGGAGCAGGCTGTGGTCTCTGCAGAGCCTAGCTCAAGACCCTCCCTCACATCAGGTTTGGGAAAGGAGAGGTCACAGGAGAGGACAAACTGCAACAGGAAGGTTCCAAAGGGCCGAGGGCCTGTTGTTCCACATTCCAGCACCAGAATTCAGAGGTTATTTCTGCACAAGGCCACACAGCAGCCCTCAGGGCCTGTGTCCCCCACCTTATCCCTACTGATCTGAATCTCCAGGGCTGAGGCCAGGATTAGTCACTGCAGTAGATTAAGAATCCTGGGCCGTTGGGGGAACCAGGCAGAACTCTCTTCTATTGACCCCAAATCAGGTGTAACGAGGTTATTTCTCACCTCCCCCGCGCCAAAAAAAAAACTTTGAGTTGATGCTGATTCATGGTGACTTCATAGAGAGCCTCATAGGGTTTTGGCTGTAATCTTAATGGAAACAGATCACCCAGACTTTCTCCCGTGGCCTTTCCGAGTGGTTTCAAACTGCCAGCCTTTAAGTTAGCAGCCAATCGCAAACCGCTTACACCCACCAGGGAACTTCTCACCTCCCACCCTGATATTCTGGAAGCCCCTGAAGGACTTCCCCACTCCCAGTCAGCAGGGTGGAGCAGAAGCCCATGTCCCACAGCCCCCTGCCCCTTCTTACCCACAGAGGGTCTCCTTGGAGGGGGCCCATCATGGCCAGAAACAAGGGCTGCTGCAGGAGGGCGAAGAGCGCGCTGACCAGCGACTGCAGGCCTGTTAGGCTGCCGAACTGGGTGGAGGGGTACCTGCCAGGGGAAATTGGGACCCCGTCATGGCAATGCCACTCACAGGCTTGCCAGACACCTCCTCGGCCTCAGGCGGCACTTTTGGTGCCAGAGATGGAAGGGGCAGGAGCAGCCCCCGGGAACAGTGCGGTGCTGGACCCTAGGTTGCTTCCTGCTGAGTGCTTCTACAAAGTGGGGTTACCTTTAGTACCAGCAGGAGCCCCAGACTCAAAGAGGGCCACACCCTGCCCAGGTGTGGGGGTCTGGCAGAGTGAGCCAACAGTTTGGTGCCAGTGGGCGTCTACAGCTTGGGAAACAGCACCCAGAAGCTGGTTTGCGGAGAGCGGTGGTGCTGTGCCCGCATCCAGGCAGAAGCGTTGTGTAATCACGGAAACTCAGCATCACAGTTCTCAGCCTGGCTCCCTCAAACCCTGCCAGGACAGCCGAGACTTCCTCCAGGCCTGGGGGTGGGGTAAGCAGACCTGGAATGACCCCCGGGGGATGATGCTGGAAGGGGGAGAACGTTCTAGGCAAAATCTCTGCAAACGTTGGCTCTGCTGGCCCAGAGGCAGGAAGGGATCCCAGCAAGGGCAAGCTGGAATTGGGGTCAGAGACAATGGATGGTGTTTCGATTCCAGTTTTAGGGGCAACCCTGAGGAGTGACAAGGAGGAACAATTGTCGTTCCTTATAAGGATATGCGGCCTCCTGGAGAAAGATGCAAGTTTCATTTCAGCCAGGGCCTGAGAAGGCTGTGGGCTCTGGCCAGAACTGGGCCATCTGACGCTCTGGGGGAGGACTGTCTGATCCATTCTGGGCTCAGTTATCCATGTGGCTGCCCCTGCTGAGCGCCACTGGAACATAAACATTCAGCTTTGGCAGCCAGAACTCACCCTTGCTTTTCCCGGTGAGCAGCCAGGGGCAGCCCTGACTCAGCTGAGCAGTGGCCCCGTGGCAATAATAAGCCACACAAGGCACTGACCCCAGCTGGGGGACTGACTTCATGTTAAATGCTGAGGCTTGTGGGCACTCAACTGTTGGCCCACCCAACCCACCTCCTGCTAGGTATGGCCTTCCTCTGACACACCCAGCAGAAGCCCTGCTACCCATGCTCTGATGCAAAAAGGTGAAGCCTGCAGACAGGCTGGCCCGGCCTCAGGGATGCTGTCCACCATGAACCTTCCTCAACCCATTCCCTCTCTCCTCATCCACCAGACCCCTCGCAGCTTCAGGACTTACACAGCGGCGTACAGGCCCCCGACGGCAGAGTGAATGAACCCACGCACAATCGTGTGCAGGATGAAGGAGATGATCTGTGGGAGGGAGACAGAGTGTGAAGGGGAGGCTGGGAGGACCCCTCACTTGTCCCCCACCCCACAATTCCTGGGGCCCAGAGCAATAGCACCAGTGGTGTGGTAGTTACATTTGTGTGTCAACTTGGCTGGGCCTGGCTGAGTGGCTGGGCAGCTGGATGTAGTATTCCCCATGATGAGACTGGTAATCAACTCCATGGTGGAATCTACTGGGAGCAGCTGAGTAGCTGCCTTTGGGTATGTGGTCTGTTTTCCATATATAAGCAGCAACTTTGGGAATGGTCTCTAGCTTACGGCACACTTGAACTCTGCATGTAGCCGTGTCCTTGTTGAGCAGCCTGCCATGCTCTGCGGACCTTGGGACTTTCAATGCACTTGAATTCATGGCCTGCAGTGTGGTTTGGTAACATCAGAACTGTGCTTCTTTACTTGTCAACCTTGGGCTTGTCAGTCTCAGCAGCCAGCAGCTGTCTGAGTGAAGAAAAGCCTCCAGGCTCCAGCAGGCAGGGAGCAGGAGGCAGAGCTGAATCCCAAGGTTGAGGGGCTTTCACCCAGCCCCTAGAGCCTGGCACTTTGAACTCAGACTTAAAGCCTCCAAACTGTAAGAGAATAAACTCCTGTTCGTCAAAGGCATCCCCTTTGTGGTATATTCCTGTCAGAGTGGCGCTAGGGAACCAGAGATGGAGGTGGCTTGTGCCAGCACTCCAGGGCAATTGGTGAATTTTCAGGCGGTTTGGTAGCTGGTTGTTAAGCATAGCAATTATTAAAAATGAAATTATATAAACTTACAATTAAATAAATTACATTTCAAACAAAAGGAATAAACCCTTCCAAGGTGATCCTGACCCATGGAGACGCTGTGTGTCGGAGCAGAACTCTGCTGACTTTGCCTGGCTCTTCTCTTAAGGCCCCTCTGGGGGGACGCAAACGGCCGTCTTCCAGCTAGCAGCTGACTGCTTAACTGTTTGTGCCATGCAGAGACTCCCAATTATTTGTTCATTTTTCAAAACTGTGGTGTGGTGAAAGTTTACAGAGCAAATTCATTTTCCATACAACAGTTCAAACACATTTTGTTTCATGACATTGATCGCATCCCCACTTCCTCCCTGTGGTTACCTTTTCCCCATGTCCTTCTTTCCTATGCATTCCTGCCCTCTGAGCTATCTTCCTCTGCAAATACTGTCCTTCTGATCTCCCATGGTTGATTGTTGTAAGGAAGGCAACTATCTGGTGTAAATGTTCACCTTATACGCCTGTCTATTGTTTGGCTGGAAGCCACAGGAGTGAGTTCAATTCCAGGCCTAGAAGGGTCACTAGGGGCTATAGTCTCAGGAGTTTCACTAGTCTCTATCAGAACAGTAAATCTCATCTTTTTTTTTTTTTTTAAATAAATTTGAAGACTCCCAATTATTTTACTGTTTTCCAATTATCTATGCTCTTGAGAATTTTTACATCTATTATGTTTAAATGGTGGAAATACTACAAAATGGGATGTTACTGTAAATCTCTTCCCAACCCATGTTCAGTGACATCACATTGGTAGCCTGAAATCAACCATGACAAGAGCATTTACACCTGGGAAATTGGCAAACACTACAAACCATGGCCCCCCCCCCCACCTCCCAGTGAGTTGTTTGTTAGACGTGTATTAGCACAGCACTGAGTAGGAGGGACCAATCATGACTTTAATCTCCAGCTTCTGCTGACCTGAAGACTGTGCCCAGGGACCTCGCTGCCTGGCCACCCCAGACCCTGCCAACAGGCAGCTGTCCTCCCTGGCCTCCTGGGAAAGCGCCACCACTGTCTCTGGGAGGGCCCCTTCCCAGGAAGCCACTGCAGGCAAGCTTTGAGAGGCACTCATTAGTGATTCCTGAGAGGCAAAAGAGCTGTCCACTTCACCACCAGGTCCTTTTTTTACCTTTGATGTCTTTTGTACACAGCCCTGCCATCTTGCTCAGCAGCCAGGACCTGTCCCCAGGAATGTGGGGGGTGGAGGGGCAGGGGCTGTTCTCTGTGGTGTTGACAGCAGCTACACCTGAATGTGCATGTGCATGCACACATACACACATACGCACATGCACATACATACTCTTGCACACACTCACACATACTCTTATACATGCACACATGTACTCGTGCACACACATACATACTCTTGCGCACACACACGCTTTTGCATACTCACACACATACTTGTGCAGGGGCCTACTGCAAATGCTTTGTTTCCTTTCTACAACTCTTCTTTCAAAAAGAACTAAAGAAAAGAAAAGGTAGCTGGCTGTTCCCACTGAGCACTGATCCTCAACTGAGCAAGGTGGTCAGGGCAAGAGTCTGCCAGTCTTGCAGAAAGGGAAGCCACCAGGAGGCACTAAGGATGCAGTGACACTGTCAACTAGAAGTCCTAGTCTCCACGGTTTACTCTTATCTGCATACTGTGTCAGCACATACACGTAATGATACCCGTGGGTGGTACACACCTGGGTATTAATGCACCTCAACACGTGACCAGTGGTGAAAAGGGAGGGACTTTGCTTTCCTCTTGGACCTGGCCTGAGATACCATCTAGACTTGGGCTACAGCCATCTGGAAGTAATTCCATTTCCCGTGTCCCTTCAAAGTTCACACACTTGGGGATTGGAGCCACACCTACTGCTAGGCCACTTTCATGGACTTCAAGGTGGAGTCAGGCAGGTGGCAAAGTCTATCTAATGCTTTCATCTCCGTCAAAAGTCATATTTCAAAAGAATAAGAAATCCTGTGCAAGTAAAGTTTCTGAACCTTGATGCCAAGTGATCCCAGCCCTTAGCTGCTCTGCACAGTGTGGCAACCCAGCGGGCACTCTTGTGCCTGAGGAGCAGATGTTCCCACCACCATCGCAGACTGGCCAGACCTCTAGAGACATCAGATCTCAGCTGTTTGAGGAAATGCAAAACAAATAGCTACACAACTACCCTACATGGTTTCGGGAAACGACATGATGGTGAACATCATGATACTCAAGATGTCCCGAAGACCAAGAAGAACCACATGCCTTCACAGAGAAGAGTTCTTTTGCAAAAGACAATCTCATTTCATTATAGCTCATCCCCAGCATGCAGCACAGAGCCTGGTGGTAACAGTTCTTCAGTACATAACAGCTGGCTAATTGGTTAGCTGAATAAATAAATGGAAAATCATTGTTTGGTTTGGTGATGGCTTCCATGATGCATCACGAGTTTTTAGTCTCTAAACAGCATGGCTTCTTGTCACTCCCCCCCCACTTGGCCTCTCCTTCTCCCCATACCCACCTGTAGAGGCAGGTTGGGAATGAGACAGGTCACCCCAAAGCCCACAAGCAGCAGGTTGGTGAAGGCAAAGGCCCGCATGGCATTGGTTATCTTCTGGATCTGCCGGTCCCGCTTCTTCTTCTTCTCACCTCTGTGGAGACATGGAGCAGATACATAGGCACTGGGGGCTCCCTGGAGGGTGGGGGGCTCCCAAGGAGTTAGAGAGCTACAATATGTGGACCAAAGCAAGACTGTGGACCCTCCCAAGCCCACTCCAGGGGCCGTGGCAGAACTAGACCAGCACCAGGGACAGTCCCGCTCCCCCAGCTCGATTGAGCACTAGACGAGAACTCCAGTGGAAGAGGGGTCTCAGATACGGGAAGACGGTCACCACAACACCGCATTACCTTTGGTGCAAACCAAGCAAAATGACAGGGAGGGGAAGAGGAGAGGGCACCCAAGTTCTGATGCAGCAAAGCCTCATTTTTACCATTGGCTTCAGCTTCACCCAAACCTTGCAGGGAGCCAATAACAGGCTGTAGAAGGAAATGAGTGGATTTCCCCTTGGGGGGTAGGAAGGGGGAAGGAGAAACAAATATGCAGCAGATGGAACAGGAATGGGCACAAATAACCTCTTGGCTGTGGGACCTGACCTAGATAACAGAGAATTCTCTGTAATTATTTCCTTGTGAATTCACTATCACCAAATCCAGCCTCACCACCCACACTGATCCCCTATGGACAATCAGATGACATGGGGAGTGCTTTTGTTCCTCCAAGAACAAATGCCAAGCTCTTGGACAAGTGCAGGAAGGACAGGCCCACCACTTCCTCTGTTACCTCAGGCAAGCTCCTTAAATCCCTAGCTTCAATGTCCTCATCTGTAAAATGGGTAGAACACTAGCACACGTCTCACAGGGTATGTTGAGATGTTGTGCATTAAGTGCTTGGCACAGGGCCTGATACGATAAACAGCAGCTTATTATATTAGGTGGAGTCACAAAAAAAGAGTGTTTAACTATCCCGAATTTAGAGCCCAACCCTTACATAAGATGGGGTGTCAACACCTTGTGTAATCCTCACAATCATGAACAAATCTATGAACACATAGTAAGGTTACAGCAACTTACTATGCAAACTGAGTGGAGTAAACCTTGCAGGCAAACAGGAGCCTTTAAAATCACTGTTTACCCACTGTACCATGCATGCTACGGATCTGAGGGTTGTCCTACAGGCAAATGGTTTGATATCCCATCATCTGCACACAGACTTTCCTTTTGTTTCTCATCCCTCCTTTTTCCTCTAGCTCAGTGCTTGCCAAGCTTTAGCGAGCAAAAGAATTTCTATGAGAAAATTCCAAAACATACACTGAGCTGAACAAAGGAGTGACTTCTGAGAGTGACTTGGAGCACACTCTCCTCTCTTGCCTCTCCCACTGACCTACCCACGCTGTCACTCTTTAACACGGGACTGCACGGTCTCTCACTCCTCTAGGGGCTGGGAGCCAGGGGCACAGGCCCTGCCTACGCACTGATTGGTGTCTTTCTCCTCAGGCTCCTCGGAGGCATCTTCACACTCCTTCAGCCTCCAGTCCATGATGTAGCCAATGACCGGCGCTGTCAGCAGGCAGAGCAGCTGGAGCACACCAAAGATGGAGGTGTAGAGGCCAACTGGGGGGAAGACGGGTGGCATCAGGACGGGGCTGCCGGCATAGGGCCTAGGGGCAGGGTCTGGGCAGGGCCAGTACTCAAGGCCCATCTGAGGTCTAACCCAAACCCCCTTGTCACTGTAGAGTTTAATGGAAGCCCAGCTACCTTAGTCTCCAAAGTCAAGGCTGAAGAGTAAGGGACAGGTTGCTTCATGCTATGTTCCCAGCCCCCTGCTGGTTTCCAAGAAACAGCAAATGAAGCCCAGTATGTCACAACGTCCTCCCCAGGAGCTCCAGGAAGACACTGTGATTCGGGAACCACAAAATTAGCAACGGATGATTCAGGCTTTGTGTGCAACTGGCCATTAGTTTTCTGCCTCTAGAAATATCCTAGGAAGGCATCACTCACAAGGGCTCTGACGTAAGGTTTCAATTTTCAAAGGGCCTTTAAATGATGGGATTTTTTTCGGCAAATGGAAGCTGAAAGCTGACGGCCCCACCCACACTGTGCCGTTCTGGTCAAGAGGGATATATGGAGTTCAAGACGAGGTGGCTCCTGGCAGAACAGAGGCTGCCCCTGCCCAGGAGGGGAGGGGATGTCGCCATGTTCACAGACAGTCCCCCCCTGCTTACCCGTGGCCATGACTGCATCAAGAAAGCAACGGTGAAAAGGCAGAAAGGAGAGAGATTAGCAGCAGAAATCTCAAAAGCTGTTAGAGAGTACTGGGGAGTGGAGGCAGGCTAGCCCAGCACACACACCACTTCTCCTGGAGCCCTGACTCTCAGCTGCTCAGGGAAGGATAAGTGTGAGCCAGCCTTCTGGGAGCGGGGGTGGGAGAGGGCCCAGCACGGGCACCTGCTTATGTAGCCCTGTCTGCGGGAGCCTCAGTCATGTGCAGCTGATGCCTCATTGCAGCACCGGCCAGGGACAGGATGAGGAAGTGGCGTGCATGAGGAAGGTCTGGGAGAACCAGAACCCCTTACTCCACACCTGCCCTGGGGACACTGCTCTGCCAGGGTCACCTCCTTCTGTACTTGTAAGGAGGGGGAAGTCAAAGAACCCACCCCAGATGCCAGCCAAAGCATCTGACACCATGGTTTCCCCCTAACAGCTGGAGCTGGTCTCCTTCCGCACACCCTACTCCCCCACCCTGAAGCAGTGCCTCTGGGCACAGCCTGCTATGGAGTTGGTGCAACAGCTCACAGGAGCAGGATGGGGAAAACCAAGCCCTGTGACTACAGACCAAACATTGCCCAACTTCCTCCACTTCTCGAAACTGACTTTCTGAATGTGGGAGAGTTGGAAAAATTTCCCCAGGGCATCAAAATTTCTCAGAGGAGCTGAGTAAAGATCATGGCTTAGCTGTAGGGAGACATTGCCTCCCAAGGGCCAGTGAGGGACTTTGTATGCCTACTTCAGCGTCTTGATCTCTCTGGCCCCGAGTGTTTAGAAAAAGGGCATTTAGACGTGATAGGGAGACGCTGGGTGGTGGGAACGTTTAACATGCCTGGCTAACCCAAAGTTGGGGGTTCCACCCAGAGGCACCTTGGAAGAAAAGCCTGGCAATCTACTTCTGAAAAATCAGCTGTTGGAAACTCTGTGGTGCAAGTTCCACTCTGACGCACATGGGGTCGTCCTCAGTCGGGGCTGACTCCCAGGCAGGTGGTCAAGGTGGGCATGATCCATTTTCCCCAAATGTGTTGCACAGATTGTAATGAGTGTCACATAAAAGGGCTTCTGGTGACAGAACTTTGGGGGAACACTGTATTAAACTAGGCTAAATAGATTATTTTTCCTGTAGGGCTGCTTTGGGCCTTTAATATGTTAATGTTCATTAAAGGCACCTTGATAGTGTTTCCCTATCTACAAAACTCCCATCTCCATAGTAGAACCAGTGTTATCTGGCTCCTGACGCTATCTTTGCCCTTTGTTAAAGATGGAGTCCTTGTGCCTAAGGTATCACACCTTAAGTAAAAAACAATGAAACCAACAAAAAGGTTACAGGCCAGTGTGACCACCAGTAAGAAAAATTTACCCAACCGTGTTTGTCCTTCTGTTGTTGCTAGGTCAATGCAATCGGTTCTGACTCACAGTGACCCTACGTCCAAGAGAACGAAACACTGCCCAGTCCTGTGCCATCCTCACGATCATTGCTATGTTGGCGCCCACTGTTGTAGCTATCGTGTCAATCCATCTCATTGAGGGTCTTTCTCCTTTTTGCTGACCCCTCTACTTTACCAACCATGATGTCCTTCTCCAGGGACTGGTCCCTCCTGATAACATGACCAAAGTACCTGAGTCAAAGTCTCATCATCCTTACTTCTAAGGAGCATTCTGGCTGTACTTCTTCCAAGACAGATTCGTTCATTCTTCTGTCAGTCCATGGTATATTTAATATTCTTTGCCAAGACCAGAATTCAAATGCATCAATTCCTTTGTAATCTTCCTCATTCATTGTCCAGCTTTTGCATGCATATGAGGCTACTGGAAATACCATGGCTTAGGTCAGGAGCACCACAACTTACTGCTCAAAGTGACATCTCTGCTTTATAACACTTCAGAGAGATTTTTTGCAGTAGATTTGTCCAACGCAATACATCGTTTGATTTCTTGTCTGCTGCTTCCATGGCTGTTGATTGTGGATCCAAGTAAAATGAAATCCTTGACAACTTCAGCATTTTGTATTTGTGCCTATAGTCATGACTAATACTGACTCAGCTCAGGCCCGAGGAAGTATAGACTCTTTGCAGAATCAAAACCTCTAATCAGCTAAAGACCTTCTCAGCTGTTTTGGAAATGTGGCATGTGAGTTATCACTTCTGTCCACCAGTGTTAACAAGCTTCAACTGGATTCCGCATGCCAGGAAGCCTCGCCCGTTTCCCAGTGGAGACACAGAGCCTGGTGCAGCGTAACTGCTCCAAAGCCTCCAATCTGTGGACTCTCCTCCCCTCTACACCCGGTGGTTTTCTGGGGGTGTTTTCTGCGTTTGGGTTTGATTTGCTGTCTTTCAACAAGCAGTAAAGTGGAGTATGCTGTTCTGTGCAATGTTTTCACTGACAAACACACACGTCAACCTTCCCCTTCAGGCACTGAAAACCATGTCCCCCACGCCCCAAACACACAGTTATTTTAGTCCTCCCCTACCTCCTAAACCAGCAGACCCTGACTGGGGACATGAAAGAACAGCTTGGGCTGGCTCTGGTGATGTGGCTCTGACATGCACATAGCCCCTGGGATTCTGCTGTCTGGTCTAGGCCAGTCTAATACACTCCAGCTGCTGGCCAGCAGGCTTGACCTCAGGCAGATGGGAGTGACCTCCCGAGACTCAAGGACTACCCTCCCATTGGGCTGTGCACCGAGGTCCCGGGAGGCCACCTACCTTTGTCCTGGTCACCGCTGACCAGGAACTTGAGGATGTTGTTCATGGCACCCATGTAGAAGATGAGCCGCAGCTGGGTGACACACATGGTGACGAGGCTGAGCAGCAGGATGGGGCTGAACACGCTGTGCATGAATGAGGGGGCCGCTGTGGGGAGAAGGCCGTGGACACTCAGGGAGAACTGCGGCCAGTACCCCCCAAGGCCACAGCCCACCCACCATCCAGGGGTTGGGAGACATGAGGAAAGGATGCCTGATTTGCTGAACAGACCTCCCCACGATAGATGCAGGGGCAGGGGGTGATGTAACTTAAGGACCAGCTCAGCTAAGCTCAACATGGTGCAGGCTGAAAAGGTGGGTCTCCCAGGTGTGTGAAGTTGCTGCTGTTGTTAGTTGTCACTAAGCTGACCCTGACTCATGGTGACCCCGTGTGCAGAGGAGAACTGCTCCACAGGGTTTTCAAGGCTGTGACCTTTCGGAAGCAGGTCTCCAGGACTGTCTTCCAAGGTGTGTCTGGGGGGGTTTGAACAGCCAACCTCTTGACTGGTAGCTGAGTGCTTAATTGTTTACACTACTCAGGGTCTGAAATTAGAGTTGGGCCAGTCCCTTAACCTCCGTAAGCTTCACTGTGTTTGTAAAACAAGGTGGGTCACGTCACCTCCCTGTTTGGGGCGAAGTGAGATGGAACCCACAAAGTTCTCGGCCATTTCTAGGTTTAGGGTGGCTGGCCACTCCCTGCTACCCAGGTGTGGGTGCCCGCAGCCCTGTGGATGTCACAGAAAGGCCTGAGAGGCAAGGGTGGCATGACGGGTACCTGCAGTATCCGGCTGACATTTCACCTCCAGGTCGACAGTGGACAGACACAGCTTGTGGCCCTCCTGCAGTGCCGCCTGCTCCTTGGCATTCCTCATGGAGCTACCCACGCTGAGGCGGCGCCCCACTGTGGTCACCTGCTTGTAGAACTGCTTCCCTGTGATCTTGTGGTCAAAGCCTAGCCAGCTGAACTTGATCTTCACCCTGGAGGCCATTGGGAGAGTGTCCATCAGCACTGCCAGGGACACTGGTTGGGGCAGGTATGGGTGCAAAGAGATACACATCTACTTACGTGTAGTCCATGTCCTCTGGCCCCGGGAAGGGCTCCAGAGGCCAATTAAAGAAGCAGTTGAGGAAAACCAGCCCAGAGCAGCCGGCCCAGACCACGAGGATGATGATGAAGGACACACCAAAGTCATAGATGACCTAACATGCACAGTGAGGGAGGGACAGGAACAGGGGGCAGAATTAGCAGAGGGGAGCCACAGCTGGTGCCAGAGAGGGAGAAGACTCTTCTGGAGCCCAGGACTGGCAGTAGGAGCTGGAGCTGAAGGGCTGTGAGGTGTTTGCTTGGTTCTGACCGTGTGGGGAGAGGCACAGGAAGCAGCTCTGCCAGCCTGGGCCTCCAGTCATCAGAGACCTGGCCTTCCAGTAATCCCAAGTAGCCCCAACTTGCTAGTTATCTGGCCCTGGCATGTTATGCACCCCCTGTGCTTCCAGTGGGGTCAAATGTCACCTCCTCTGGGAGGCCTTCCCTGACCACCCCCATTGCTATCATATCACCTTGCTCCAGTGAGTTGAAGTGACTAGCCCTGGCTGAGACTAGTGTTTCTTGACTCACTGACTTGTTCTATTGCTAATCCAGCTCCCAGAGAACAGAAGCCCTGCTAGCTTCGTCCACTGATGTTTCTCCCATGCCTAGAAGAGTGCCCATGGTTGGGGCACAGAAACAGCTCAGGGAACGAACAAATGGATGTGTCTCACTCTCTTCCTCTGTGAAATGGGCATGACCCTGGCATGTATCCATCCTCACGGAGGTCTGGTGGGGTTAACAGTGTAATCCTGGCAGAACGTGTTAGCTGTTATTGGCTCTATAGCTATTTATTTCCAGCACCCTAACAAGGGTCCCAAAAGTACTAGCAGAAGCTACGGCTCGC